GCTCCTCTTCATCCGTTCTTTCTCTCTTTCTCTCTCTCTCTCTCTCTCTCTCTCTCTCTCTCTCTCTCTCTTCCTCCAATTCGCGCGCATTGGCTGATTTTAATAATATTCCTGACCGACAGAAAACAATTGTTTGTACAATTGCGCTTTATAATTTTACTCGCGCCGAGAGCCTCTTATTTTATTTTATATCCAACATTCAATATATTATCAGTGTTCACGACTATAAATTGATTCGATATTACTTCCACAGCGATTATTTTCAATCAATTTGATTCATCTTACGAGATAATATACAAATATACAGAGTGTCCTAACAACACATTGCACAGAGAATATTGTATCTCGGATACTAATCGGATTAATAGCTATTTCATGAATGAATCCGAATCCAGCTTCGCATGCAAGTTATAAATTATTAATGTTGGAGAATAATTAGCTCTAATATTAATTCTAATATATTCAGGCGCGGTAATAAATTATAAACTTTGAAATATGTTTCGGCACAAAATTATTAGTAGAGTAATTTTACCTAAAGGGATTAATTCACCGGATAATCATTCCAACGTAACAATTTATAATCCGCATCGAGCCGCGCGCACACGATTTTGATTTCAGAATACTTTTCCCCTACCATCGGCTGCTAAATCGCTTACATTTCTATGTTATCTCGAGACTCTTTATAATTTCTTATTACTCATTAACGTCTAATAGTTACAGCTTCCTCACGTAGAGCCTGAAAACTAATTTTCATCGCCCAGCTTACGTTCACCCGTTTGCATTATAGCATACGCTCAATCGAACCCATTAGAAGACTCGTGAAAACTTCGCAAAAAGCTTGCGAAGGTATGTAGGCAACGCAAACTTCTTTTTTCCAATCGTCCAGGAATCCGCGTGGATCACACAATGCGTTATCAAGCGCCAGACTAAGTCGCCTTGCACGTGGGAAATTTCTCGCGTCACGCGCGATGCTTATATATACACGGCAGAATAAGTGTGCGCGCTGTGCGAAAATTATCGTCGGCCTTCTTCTTCAAGCTTACTCATATCTCTTATTACGCTGTCTGATCGATTTTCTTTAAAGCTCGCGGCGCACGTACGTTTCGAGGTCGGCCCGCTTACCCGATACAAGCTTGGCAAGTTGCAGCGTGCGCGTTTTGGAATGGTCGAGGAAATATGGCTTGCTGATTAATTTAAGTTAAACACAAAGATCCACAGCGTTTTAGATACAAACTTCAACTCCACTTGTACCTTTACTGATACTCGTCGAATTTGTTTCCAAGATCAATTTCTCTCTTTCTCGAAAGAAAAAAAACAATTTTCGCGAACGTGCTTCACAGGTATAGATATCTTCTCTCAAGTATACGATACGAGCACTTTTATCCTTCGCTATTAAACGCACGTAACTCAAGATTGATATAATTATATAACTTTCAGTCGATTTATTTACATGAAGAAGTATTAGAAGCCGGAAAGATTTTTAATTTCTCTAGTGATCTACGCGCGGAAGGATTAGTCATTGTAGTGAAAATAAAGACTGCACGATGCCGCAAATTACCGCGCGAACCGCAAGAAATATTGCGGAACTATCGGAAACGGATAACCAAGCAATTACGATGCAATCTGTAACGTATACGGTACCAGCGTGCAGTGGAGCATTCACAGCAGCATATACGAAAGGATAAACCGAGTAGAAACACAGTAGATGTACCGCGGGCTTAATAATCGTTTCTCCCATTTGAGGCCGATCATACCGAAATATGCGCAACGTACGTCGTTAATTTTGTTACGGTAAGGCAACGCAAGATGCATTTGCGAAAACTTTTAGAATACTATTAAAGAACGATAGACCATTCGGTAAGATAGAGATCTCCACCATTTCCTTAAAAATCTTTTTCTTCGTTTACAAGTAATGCTCGAAACGTAAAAACGTTCAAAGTATCGCGAATTTTCACATTTGGCTCCAAATAATACATATATATAGTGATGACTTACCTCGCAGACTCGGCGCAAGGCACAGAGACTCTCGACAATGGCCGATACGTCCGTTTTCGCGCGTGCCGCAAAATTTCTCAATCTTATCTGCCATGCAAAGAACGTCGTGTAATGATGTTGCGTGTCCGATGCACGTGTGTGACGCTTGTTCGTAAATCTTAAAATACAAGCACGCGAAAGCACATTGACCCCGGTGCACATTGTGTTCCTCGCGGATACGTGGTATCCTCGGCACATTCTACATACGAGAAAGAAAAGAAAAAAAAAGAAAGAAAGAAGAAGACATCGAAGCCTTCGTAATGGGATATGTCGGAACGTCCGTCGACGAGCACGCTGTCGTACGGATTAAAACGATCGTTATGCAGTTACGAGGTCGATTCCCTTCGTATCGATTAGGGTGGCGAATGGAGTTAAATTATTCCTTCTTTTTCTGCGCCGTGTAATTGCAATGTGACCAAAAAAAGGCTCGTAACAACGTCCCGCCGCAATAACGATCGAAATGCCGACCGTCGCGAATCTTACTAAAAGCAAATTAATGCGCCAGACACGTAATTAGAAGAGTCGATTTGATTTATTTGGTCGATTTCTTCAGTTAATTTCAAAGCTGTAGCTCAATTTATTCTTTGTCCTTCTCTTATTTCTGTTGCGGAGAGGGAAAGTAAATTAGGATCAGATTAAAGCTGATCGATAATACCTAGACTTCAAATATCTAGACTTTGTTATTTTTATAAACGCCAATTACGTGTCAATGGATCATTGTCATCGGAACCTCCTCTACATGCATTTCTCGCGGCACAGTCGAGATACATGCCGAAGATTTCAGTTATACACCCAAGGAAAACAATAGCGAGAAAATAATGAGAAAAGATGCAGATACCGCGCGATGCAGAGAATTTGTGAAGAGACTTCGCGCGGAAATTTCGGCTATGCGAAAATTGATACCCGCTTTTATCGCTTCCCGCGCGCTGCGGCCTCACTCCACCATTTCCCTAATTCACGCGCGCGCGCGACGGACGTCCGGTGGATTTCTGGCGAACGTACGATAATACGTACGACCCGTGCTGCAGGTGCTACACTCCACATCCGCCGCACGCCGTAATAGCATCGTATTGCGCGAGGTACATATCGATTTCTCAGCGGCGGGATGACGCGCGTGCTGGTCGACGGTGCAACAAGGCTCCCGCCGGTGTGCCGGTATAAAATTAACCGTTGTGTCATCCCTAAGAGCGATATTATTCCCCGTCCCTCCCTCCCCCTCCCTAACTAATCGACGTTATCTCGCAAATTAATTCGCAAATTCGTTGTGTTACCACCTCGCGCGCGGGCACGTAACACCGTCGTCACATCGCGGATGGCGGTCGGCATCGCCCTCCTCTCTCTCTCCTCCGCAACACGCCGATCTTGGATACTGACCTGCGACTAATCGATCGGCGCCAAGCCCCGAGAAAAAGAGGACGCACACGTTCCTCGCGCGCGTCCTCCGCACGCGCGTGAGTCTCTCGCAATCGTTAATTCGCTACGAGGCTCGCTCGCGTGTGACTATATATCTTCGGCTTCCACCCTCGGCGAAATTCCACTGAGAGATTCCGTGAACTTAGCATGAAATTCCGTTCGCGTTCCCCGTTTACGACAAGATCGCGATTTCAAGCCGATTTGCGCAGACTTCGATCAGTCCCCAATCCCGATTGTGATCCTCTGATGCCACGTATCGCGTTTCCTATCTTATTTAGAATTTCTGTATGATTAGGATTACAAGTAAATCTCGTAACTCTCGCGGCGTTATCTAATCAAGCGGGTCTTGCTGTAGAATGAGTAATGGAGTGGAATGGAGAGCCTCTAACAGTGATAAACAAGTAGCTTACACGAGATTGAAATCACAGTCGGCTTTGAGCTGTTCTAATGTACTTACAGGGAATTAGAAAAAGCGATCTTTGTGCGAAGATTCAATTTTGAAAAAGAAAAAAAAATTAGAATTTTCGAGACTCAAATCAGATCGGAATCTAATCGTGATTATTAAATTTAAGACCTATTTACATTTAAGATTTATTTGTAATTTACGCACACAAAAATGTGCTTGTGTGGACATTTTAGATTAAGTAGATATTTGTAATAATCAAGTGGTCAACGACGATGTGATGAAATTTATATAACGCGCTTAAATAATTTTAATTAATTCTATCACAACGAGGCGAAAGCGTTCACAAAAATAATAGAAGTCTCGCGAAACTCGTCTCACTAAACTTCTGGAAATTATTGAAAAGTTCAGAATGAAATTAGATCCGTGACTTGTCAACACCTTCGAAATCCGCGTCCGCGCAACAAGCGAAATCGTACGGAGCTACGTGCAAAACCTCTACAACTCCTGAAGCGCATCAGAGGATTTCCCCCGTCTGTGTTATCATTAAGGGTTCGTAATCCGGAAAAAGACAGCGAAGCGTTTGTCCGGGAGTCAGTTTAAACCAAATCGTCGGTGCACGAGCGCGGGCTTAGAGAGAGAGAGAGAGAGAGAAAGAGAGAGAGAGAGAGAGAGAGA